ACTGGCCAGCCAGCGACGCCCACATCCCACAAATGAATAAAAAAAACTTGCCCGCTAGCTTTCAATAATACCTAAGCAAATCCTGGTCACGTTGGACACCAGCCCTTCCCAACTTCTCACCATTTAAGAAATATTCTGCATTTCTGGGTTTTTATTTTCTCCCAAAGTAGATGACTTCACACTTTTTCACATTACATTCCATCTGCCATGTTTTAGCCCATTTACTCAGCGTATCTATGTCCCCTTGAAGCATCCTTTCATACACCTCTTTCCCACTTGATTTTGAGCCATCGGCAAATTTGGAAATATTACAATTGGCCACCTCATTCAAATCATTTAAATGAATACGACGGGCTTGGCATTCATCCTTTCAGTACCCCATTAGTAACAACCTGCCATCCTGAGGAAGGGCCCTGGCCTGAAACATCAGCTTTCCTGCACGTCTGATGCTGCCTGGCCTGCTGTGTTCCTCCAGCTCCACACTATATATAACAGATCCCTGCATCGTGCTGCTGAAATGATTCACAAACGTTTGGTTTCAGTCGCTACGTGTTGTTAAAGGAAACAGCAATCACCAGTTTCTCGCCTGAGTTGAAGAGACATTCCATTCAGAAACATCAAGAGGGGCTAACGTTATAATTTATATTTGAAATTTATTATATTTTATAACTTCATGTAATATTTTTAAAATAAGGAAAATAGTAAAGGACTGGGTATTCCCCGTCCCCACCCCACTGACCTGGCATGTTTTTAGCAATGTGGGAACGCATAAAACATGTTGGATGGCTAGCCCACTGCCTGTCCCCCAACACAATCCCTATTGTGCAGCATGAGTGCAGGCGGGAGTTGGTAGGCAATTTTTTTCAACTCAACTGGTTAAAAGATTGGAAGGAAGAGGGGATACATTCTTTGAGGAACAGTTTTTGTGTATCAAGACTCCATCATAACATCCTCAAGATGTTACCATCCCTTTGTCACTTGATGCCAGGCTGCACTCACCTGCCCACTAGTCCCTCCAGGCCTCCCCATACCTGCCTGCATAAAATGCTTGAGACTTATGTAGGTTCAGGATACCTCCTCAATCCTTGCAATCCCGGTGATATCCATTAATGGCACTGCTATTTAGGCAATCAGATTGACCAGCAGCTCTTGAGGGCTGGACCTCTACCTGGCTTAAATCCAACATTCACCTGCTTAAGGTCTTTGGAACAAATTCTGTTTGGAAGGCAGTTTTTTTCTTCTGGAGGGTGGAGTCCAGCAGCACATCCCCCACTAAACTGAGTTTCAACCATCTTTCAGGATGTTGCAAAAAATTGTCATTGGACTTGAAACATTAGCTGTGTTTCTCTCTCCACAGGTGGTATAAGACATGCTGAGTTTGTCCAGCAATTTCAACCTGTGTATTTTCTAGATAATGCCTAAAACCTAACAATGATTTCATTCTTATTTCTGGATATCTACATTTCTTTCTCTTATATGACATTGAATGTCCCTTTTGGAATTTGGCTCTAACTTTATCATAAACAAATCATTTTAGTGCTCCATATGAAAAGAAAGGATTGCCAAACTAAATGATTAGCATTCTAATACATAACCATTTAATGTTACAATTGTGTATTTTCTTCATGTGACTTTGTGCTGCCTTAAGGGCCATATATGATAGTGTGATGCAATGACCATCAGTATGTTGGGTTGATATAGCAACTTTTGTTCATTAATAGATTGAAAAGACACATACTGAAGGGAGGAAGAAAAACACAATGATCAAGCACAATATGTTGGATATGAATATTAGCAAAAAGAAAAATGATCATTCAGGCTATATACATGAATTAATTATCAAGTAATATACAAATTATCAAGTAAGAATGCAGTAGCAAGACAAATTGAATTGTTACCATAGTACGAGTCTAAACTTGGCAATCCAAATATTCAAATAATGCTGATTGTGTCTCCGTGCCTTTCCCTTTTCCTTGGAAGTTGATAATAAAAATGAATCAATAGATGGTGGTCTTTTGGTAGCTTGTACAAGTAGCCTGAATATGAGTAACAGGAAGACTATTAGTCATACAGCTGAGGTTTACTACTCTGCACATCTTTTCAATGGACATACACACACACGTAGTGAAGCTCATTGGGCGGTGATATGGAAGGAAGTCATATTCATCAACTTTGAGAAGCCGGCACAGTATTTCCATAAGTTTCTGCAATCTCATATTATTACTTTGGTGGAACACTGGCAGAATTTCTAAAGAAATAGAATAAACAACCATTTTTTAGTCATTTCTGCTGTTATTGGAAAAAAAAATTCCATTGATCTCTGCCTCAATGGGAACAGCCAAGTTACAGATACTACCTCAATGCCAGCACTCAAAATATAAGTTAATGTCTCAAAGAAAGTAATTCAAATATAGAGTGTCGCTTATCTACATGTTATAAAATAGCATGTTCAGTGGATAAATAAAACCACTTTTTGTTAATGTTGCTGTAACTTAGTTCTCCACACAGCTTTTCATCTTTTCTCTTCACTTTTTCAGGTCTTAACTCTTTGGCTCAGTCGTTGATTGCTAATGAAACTTGCTCATCCTCTCTTGTTCACCTGGATATCTCTGGAAATCCCGGGATATTAGCTGCTGAAGATACTTGTGTAAGTGAATAGAAGCAGGAATACAGGCAGCATATAATAATGATTTTGTTTTCTTGAGGTCTAAACCTTTAGTCAGTGTCTGATTATTCCTATCTGGTCCATGAAACATGTGTCAGTGTGGCAAATCAACTCATGATTAATAATGCAGTTGAAGCTATGGATCCAAGAGTATATGTCAGTATGGCAGGTCAACTCACTCTTAATAGTGCACTTGATTTCAAAAGGACAAGATGGGAATTAGAAATCTATACAATGAAAGTTGAAGTGGAGAAACTTTCAATTAAGTTCCTGTATATACAAAACTTTTCCCCTGACTCAAATAACTTCCTTCTCAACAGACATTCTCAGGTCCACTGCTGGTTCCACTTTGTAAATGTTGGGAAAATATTGAAACAGTTCCTCATCAATGAAAGTTGCTAGTATCTTGCAAACTGGTGTCCAACTTTCTAAATTGATTTTAGCTGATTTGTTTAAAAGTGGTTCAGATTATTGTTGAATCTGGTGGTGTAAAATGGATGACAGCAAATTGGCAGCCAATGTCCTGGGAATCTTATTTTCAACCTACTGACTAATAACATGATGCACAAAACCACACTGACCAATTCAACACTTCCTTACCTATAGATTTCTCAATATTTCCCAGGAAGAGTTCATCTCAATTAATCATGGAAAGGAAAATACATCAAAGCACCATCTGCAAGCTAGTTATTTTCAACTAGAATCATAGTCATACGGCGCAGAAACAGACCCTTTGGTCCAACTAGTCCATCCAAACCAAGTTTCCAGAACTAAACTATTCCCATTTGCCTGCATTTGGCCCATATCCCTCCAAACCTTTCCTATTCATGTCCATATCCAAATGTCTTTTTAGTGTTGTAATTGTACCTGCATCTACACTTCCTCTGGCTGTTCATTCCACGCACGAACCTGTGTGAAAAAGTTGCCCTTCATGTCCCTTTTAAATCTTTCTCCTCTCACCTTAAAATTATGCCCTCAAGTTTTGAACTCCCCCACCATTGGGAAAAGACCTTTGCTATTCACCTCATCTATGTCCCTCATGATTTTCTAACCCTCTATAAGGTCACCACTCAACCTCCTACACTCCAGTGAAAAAAGTCCCAGCTCCTCCTTATAACTCAAACCCTCCAGTGCCGGCAACATCTTGGCAAATCTTTTCTGATCCCTTTCCAATTTAATAACATCCATCCTTTGGCAGGGCAACCAGAACTCCACACAGTATTCCAGAAGAGGCCTCCTTAATATCCTGTACAACCTCAACATGACATCTCAACTCCTATCCTCAAAGGTCTACGCAATGAAGGCAAGCATGCTAAACACCCTTTTAACCACCCTGTCTACCTGTGATGCAAACTTCAAATAATTATGTACCTGAACCGCTAGGTCTCTCTGTTAACAACACTACCCAGGGCCCTACCATTAATTGTATAAGTCCTGCCCTCATTTGTTTTACCAAAATGCAATACCTCTCATTCATCCAAATTAAACCCCGTATGCCACTCCTCAGCCCGTTGACCCAATTGATCAAGATCTCTTTGTAAGCTTAGATAATCTTCTTCACTATCCACTATTGCACAAATTTTGGTGTCATCCGTTATTCTCTTCCAAATCGTTTATATAAATGACCAATAGTTAGCTGATATGCATGGTTGTTAGAATACCTTAATAACCTGATTTAAACCTAAATACCCAAAAGTCCCAACTGGCTATGCAGGAGGCACATTTTAACAAGAAGGTGGATATCAGTGTGGACTAAGTTTTGTCTCTGTAGGTGAAAACAGACAGGTAATAGGAGAAATGGTGTTGATTCATCAAAATGAAGTAAGGATTTAAAGGGTTAAACATGATTTGTATTCCCTTGAGTTTAGCTAATTGATGGTTGTAAGAATGTTGACCGTAACCAGCATATGAGTTCCCCATCAAACAGCAAATAAAAATCATTTGATATGCCGACTTTGGCTGAGCTTGTATTATTTTGGAACAGCGTAAGCTTGTGGTTGAAAGGACAGACACTGACAAATAACTGATGGTTGACAGCAGACCATAATCCGATATAAGGCCAAAGTATGTGTAATATGACCATGGTTTACTGAGTATGGTTCTAGCGTTAATACTATAACAATAGTCGATGTTTTTTAAATTTCACAGGATTGTTGAAAACTCCTAACCGAGCATGGAGCTTACACAAGTTGAGAGGTCACCTTGTCATCCAAATGTTACAACACTATCTCTGCCAATATTTCTCAAAATTTATTATTGAGAGTCATCTTGTTATAATATATTAATACCATCTGCAGACATCACTACTGAAGGAATAACTGCTCTCTGCTGTGATAATGAAAATAAAGAAATCCACCTGCAAAAATGCTTCCCTTTTATTTCTGAGAACTACACGGAGTAAGCCAAGTATTTAGATCATCAGACACAGGAGTAGAATAGGCCATTCAGCTCATAGCGTTTGCTCCATTCAATCATGGTTGATATGTTTCTTAACCCCATTCTCCTGCATTTTCCCTGTAAACCTTGTTCCCCTTCTAATCAAGAACCTGTCTATCTCTGAATAGATATTTGCCTGCTTTGTGTTTGCAGGACTGTCAAATCTGGCACCTACCTCTCTTAATATTTCCACTATGACAACAGCATTAGAAAAATCTCAATGTTGGTATTTCAATGGCCCAGACACAACTTTGAATAGTAAGTGTGCCGGCTGGCATCATTTGTCAATGTGCTAAGAAGGCCCATCTGATGATTTTGTCAGCTATATACAAGAATACCATTTTAATCTCTATTTTGGCATAAAACGAATAAATGCAGGGATTGAATATTGTTTCATACTTAAATATTCAACCTTACAATCGAATATTTATCACTTAAACATATAAGATGATTTGACCATAAGAAATTCAGACAAAATGTTTACAAAACTGACATGTTTTCTTTTTGTGCCAGACTTTTTATAATTTCATTTCTCATCCGAATGCACTGACTTACCTAGATCTGGCAGGTACAGATTGTGCTCTGGATTCTGTAAGTACCACAGTCTTTTGGTATTGTATAAGAGTAACATTCTCTAACATTATGCCTGTCTTCCTAGAATGAGGTAATATCTGTCAGTTTAGGTCCTGTCGCAGTTTTATTCTTATTTCTGGAGCAGACAGTTGTAAAACTCAACACAATATGCATTTTTTCTAATATGAATTGTATCATTGTTTTTTCAAAAGAGTTTCCTCAGCATGAAGCAAGGGAAATATGTGGATATGGTGACAGTTGTGTTAGCATTGATGTTACAGTAGAATAACAAGATATCGCTTTCACAGTGCATATGCAAATCTTTCTTTCATTCTCCTCCTCCTTTTCATTCCCAACCCCATCCACATAAACAGTACCATCTTTCAGATGTGTTATTGATCTGAGATTCTATCCGCCCCCTCAGTTGGATATAAAAAAAATCCTATATTTTGAAGAAGAGCAAGAGAGTCCTGGTCAATAGTTATCCCTAAATCAGTACGAAAAACATGTCATCCAATTATTATCACCTTCCTGTTTGTGGGAGATTGCTATGAGCAAATTAATGCTGTGTTCTCTACGTTACAACAAAAAATATTTCATTAGCTCTAATGTATTTTGTAACATCTAACGATCATGCAAATGAAGTATTTCATTCATTCTGTGTCTACATGATCAGAAGGGTAACTTGTTCATTGATCTTCAACAGTGTTGTTTCATGCATGTTGCCAGTAGGTGGTTTACAACTCTGACCTGGGGACAACCCCCTTGTGCCTTATTCTGGAGTCACCTGCCCCAATATCTCAACAACAGCAAAACCTAGATTCAGAACTTTGCATTTGATACATTGAACCTGTATTCACCTGCCCCCTTGAGCAGTATCAGAAAAAGCTGCTTATCTGATCATTTACTACATTGCTGTTGGTGGGATTTGCTATGCGTAAATTGACACACTACATCGTCCCACAGTGCAACTGTGATTCACTTCATAATGCTTGTGAAACTCTTCGGTACATCACAGGTGATGAAAGATGCAAATTTCTTTCTCAACCATTTCTTTATCAAATTGTATATAGACACCAACAGGTGGCACTGTTGCATCACCATCAAATCTCTCTACGGGCTGACATACCTGTCATTCACTTTAAAATGTTTGTGTAATAACATAGTATAATTCATCATTCTAGCAGTATTTAGAAAGTCTAATTCAAATAAACTTGTGCATTTGTCTGAATTCAATGAAATATTGAGGATATACTCCATCATGTGGGGTATTGACAACATGCTAAATGGGATAAACAGATCTAGCATCTCAAGACTGGGCATACATGAGGTGCTGTGGGCCATTAGCAGCCGCAAAATTACTACAGCCTCATGACATGACATAACCCCTACTTTGCCATTACCATTAAGCCAGGGGACCAATCCTAGTTCAATTAAGAACGCAGGAGGGCAAGCCAGGAGCACCATCAAGCATACCTAAAAATGAGGTGTCAACTTGGTGAAGCTACAAAACCAGTACTACTTACATGACAAACAGCAAGTAATAGAAAGCTAAGCAATTCCACAATAAATGGATCAGATCTAAGCTCTGCAGTCCTGCCACATCCAATAGTAAATGGTGGAAGATAATTAAGTGACTAATTTGAGGACAAAGACCCACCTCCTCAAATGGGGAGCCCAGCAAATCAGTGCAGAAGGTAAGGCTGAAGCATGTGCAACAAACCTCAGCCAGAAGCACCGAGCAAATAATCCACCTCACCCTCCTCCAGAGGTGCCTAACATCATAGACAGTATTCCAGCAATAGTACTGAAGGCTTATACTCCAGAACTTGCTAGCCCCTAGCCAAACTGTGTTCTGGTACAGCTACACCACTATCATCCACCTGATAAAGTGGAAAATTGCCCAGATGTGTCCTGTGCACTTTCAATGACATCATGACCGATCTGATAATCTTCAATTCTACCTTCCAGCCTTTTCCCCTTAACCTTTCATTCCCTTGCTGATTAAAAATCTGTCCATCTCAACCTTAGACATATTTGAAGACCCAGCTTTGAGAGCCCTCTATAGTAAAGGATACTACAAATTCACTACCTTCAGAGATGATATTTCTTCTCATTTCTGTCTTAAAAGAATGATCTTTATTCTGAGATTCTACATCCGATCCTAGAGTCTCCCACAAAGTGAAACAATCTTTCTGCATCTATCCTGTCAGAACCTTTAAGAATTTTGTGTATTTCAATAAGCTCGTCAATCATTCTTCTAAACTCCAGCAAGTACAAAACAAACCTACTCACCCCGTCCTTATAAAACAGTAACTCCATACCCAGGATCAGCCTAGCAAACCTTGTCTGGATTGTCTCCGAAAATGGTCTGCCTTTCCTAAGATAAGGGTCCCAAAACTGTTCACAATATTCCAGCTGTGGTCTGACTCGTGCCTTGTGTCGATTTAGCAAGACATCCCTACTTTTATAGTCAACTCTCTTTGAAATAAAGGCAAATGAACTTCACACTAGCTTTTTAAGATTTATGCCCGAGTACTACCTAATCCCTCTGCTGTAGTTTTGAGAGTCTTTCTCCATCTAAATAATATTTGGCTCCTCTAATCTTCCTGCCAAAATGCATAGCCTCTCATTTTCCAACAATCCATTTTGTCAGCCAAGTTTTTGCCCATTCGCTTAACCTGTCTATATGCCTCTGTAGAGTCTTTGTGTCATCCTCACCATTTGCCTCCCCACTTATGTCATCCACAAATTTGGCTATAGTACATGCAGGTTCCTCAGGACAGTGTCTCAATCCAACTACCTTCAGCTGGTTAATCAGTGACCTTGCTTCCATTGTAAAGTCAGAAGTGGGAATGGTCGCTGATAATTGCACAATATTCAGCATCATTCACGATTGCTCAGATGCTGAAGGAATCCATGTCCAAATGCTGCAAGACCAGGGAAATATCCAGGTTTGGGCTGGCAAGTGGCAAGTAACATTTGTGCCACTCAAGTGCCATGCAATGACCAACTCCAACAAGACAGAATCTAGTCATCGTCCTTTGACATTCAATGGCAGTATCATGACTCAATCAAGCTACTATCGATATCCTGGGCTTACTATTAACTACAAACTGAATTGAATTAGCCATATAAGTATCCTGCTACAAGATCCAGTCAAAAGCTACCAATCTTTCCTGACTCCCCAAAGCCTGTCCACCATCTACAAGAAACAAGTCAGGAGTGTGATGGAATACTCCCCATTTGCCTGGGTGAGTGCAGCTCCAACAACACTCAGGAAGCTTGACATCCTCCCGGTCAAACCAGCCCCCTTAATTGGCATCGCATCCACAAATATTCACTTCTTTCATCATCGATGTTCAGTAGCACCAGTATGTATCATTTAGAAGATGCACTGCCAAAATTCACCAAGGCTCCTTAGTTAGTATCTTCCAAACCTATGGTAACTGCTAAGAGGAAGAGGCCACAAAATACATGGGAACACCTGAATGTTCCCCTCCAAGCCATTCACTTCGAAATATATTGCCATTCTTTCAGTGTTGCTGGGTCAAAATCTTGTAACTCCCTCCCTAAGGGCATTGTGGGTGTACGTGCAGCAGGAGGACTGCAGCAGTTCAAGAAGGCAGCTCACCACCACCTTCTCCAGGGCAACAAGGAATGGGCTATATTTACTGGCCCAGCTAACAATGTCAACATCCTGTGAATGAAAGTTTAAAAATTAGAAGTTGAGGCTTTCATTAGGTTCTATAAAGGAGTTTTTACATAACGATAAAGTCATGTCTGCCATGATTTTTTTAAAATTCTGGTATTCCATTGCTGATTTTCTGCGTTTCTCCTTTTTCAGCTTTTTGGAGCATTGAATCGCGGATGTTGTACACATCTGATCTCTCTAATCCTCGACCGAAATGTATTTTCCCACAAGTAAGAAGGGTCTGGTGAAATAAAATGGGTTTAAATTCTTTAGCTGTTGTTTGCTTGCTCTGTGAGGTGATTCATTTAAAATAGGACTGGCTGCTGGCAGAAGCACAGACTCCAAAATCAGTCAATTTCACATGATCCTGATCAACTTGGATATCTTCAGTGAATTTGAGATGAAAGTAGACACTATGGGCTGAATACCAATTCACCTTTGATTATCAGGCATTTCTGTGAAATTATAACTATAAAGTTGAGGGGAACTCACTTTTAATTCCCTACAGAGTAATGAATCTGTAGAATTCTTTACTGCAGAGGCCTGTCAAGGCTGAGTTGGTAAGTTATTCAAAGCTAAGTTAGACAGAATCCTATTTCTGGGGGAGGTGATGGCCTAGTTATTATTGCAGGATTGTTAGCTTAGAGACCCAAGTACTGTTCTGGGGAAAACAAGGTGTAGAGCTGGATGAACACAGCAGGCCAAGCAGCATCAGAGGAGCAGGAAGGCTGACGTTTCGGGCCTAGACCCTTCTTCAGGGAGCTGGGTTCAAATCCTGCCATGGCAGATGGTGGAATTTGAATTCAATAACAATCTGGAATTAAGAGTCTAATGATGAATATGAATCCATTGTTGATTTTCAAGAAAAACCCATGTGGTTGACAGATTCCCTTTTTAGGGACAGAAATCTGCCTCCCCTTACCTGAAATGGCCAATTTGTGACTCATACCCACAACAATCTGGTTGACCCAATTAGGAATGGGCAATAAATGCTGGCCTACCCAGTGACGCCTTCATCCCATGAATGTATAAAAAATATCAAAGTTTGTGGGAATAACGAAGGAAGGTGAAGTTGAGGATTATCAGATCAGCCATGATCTCATTGAATCATGGACCAAATTTGTTGGGCTCAATGGCTTACTTCTACTTCTACATCTTGTGGTCTCAACACTGAAACAAATGAAAGCATCCTGTGTATCAGAACCAAATGTATTATTCCATCTGTTAGTGTGCAATTAGTGATTCTTGCTGCTCAGTATTTCCACTGACTTTTTTTTTCTCTCACGCTAGGCCTGAGGTCATTCAGATTATACCTCATTTTGAATGAATAAATGACAATCAGTTAATTTCTCACAAAGTTCACCTCCCAAACTGTGCATTGTCCTCTGGCCTTGAGATCAGAACCATGAAACAAGCTGAACTACAGTCATTCATTTTAAAATGACCCTATTGCCTATTGTATGGCCATGGCTTGTGACTCTTAACTGACTTGCAGTTCTATCCATTTGCAGACTTGTATTTGTAGCTTGAGGTCTTTGGGATGGTTCTTGGAATATAAGAATTTAAGGAAAAAAAGACATATGTTAAGCTGGAAAACCAACAGAAGGTGACATGATAAAAGCTCAAAATTACCCTGACAAGTAACTGCCCTGAGACTGCAGTAGTGTGTGTGTTAACCGAAGGCAAGTCTACCACTTTAATCAGTCTGAACTTGAAAGCCAGTTTCAAAATCACCTCCTGGTCCCACCTCTGAGGTTGTGTGTCTTTTTTTTTGAGAAGCTGCTACTGAATTCTGTCTCATTTTAATTGCTTATTTGTACTGGGGTAGATTTTCCACTTGCCAATCACTCATCAGACTTTTGTTGCAGGTCAGAAGCTGATAAAACTGCTCAATTTTCAGTTGTATTGATTTCTTTAGTGGATGTTTAATCAGTAAATATCTGATGACAAGTTTGAAAATCTCCCTGCATCTTTGGTGTAACCAGTTCAGTACTGATTCTAGTTCAGTGCAACGTCTTCTCTCTTGTAGGAAAACTCGGGAAATTCCCCCTTCATTGAAGCAGTTCTTCAGCAACTGTTTATCATTAAAGTGCATCACACTGTCAGGTATCAAGCTACCATTGGAAGCAGTAAGGTACTGTATGTTTCAGTGATCATTAAAGCTTTTGAAATGTAACACTAATGCCAAGTTATTCTAAAAGCAGTAATTAATTTTATATTATAAATAATTATATGTGACAGCAGTAGCACAAACAAACCAATTCAGTATCCTTGAGTGGACAGGAGAACAGATAATTAACTAGGGCAGAGGAACTGCTGAATTCTGACGGCTGGACCTACAGTAGCTTTCTCTCTAAATTAGAGAGACAGCAGGGAGGTACAGAGCAATGATTTGAGATAGTTCAGAAAGGTACAAAACAAATGGCCTCCTCTTCCACCCAACAGCTCTCCTTCCCTGCCAAACCCCCTTTCTTTCATTACTACCCTTCCTTTACTCCCTTGCTTTGCTTCCCTCACCTAGCTCGTCCCCAATACTGCCCAGCACTCCTTGTCTCCCCCAGCACCCTCCACACTGCACTGCATCTCTCCCTTCCTAAACTTCCACCTTGCCACCTAACTCCTCATCTTCTCCTAGCCATTTGCTGTATTCTAACACTATGCTATCCAATGTTGAATTCTCCTGCCAAAAGTCCAATTTCTCTGTATAATTTTTAATGCCTCAATTAGATTACAACAGGATTTAGACTCAAGCTAATCAGGCTGTTGCAACCTTAATATGCCTTTAAAATTGTGACTCCTATTCTCCCAGCATCAGAATAATAGGAGCAGAGAAGATGAGATAGAGCTGACAATTCATCAAACCCACCTCATGCTATGGGATTGTTTCTACATAATGATCATTGCTCCCCCCGCCCACCACCTCCCTCCAACACCCCGATGCAATCTCGAGAAAGCCAAAAAGCAAAGAAGAAAAGTTGAGGCCAAATTTTGTGACAAACTGTAAAATTGCAATTTGACTGTGAAAGATAATCAAACAAACTCCACGGGATATAATAACACCCTGCCTTCTCCTCAAACAGTTCTTTGAGTCTGTATAATATTTAATGGCAAGTTGTTTTGCTAATAGCCTTTTATCATACTCTACAGAGCCATTCTTCAGGGCCTGGCCTGTAATACTCACATCTGTGACATACATCTGGATCTCAGCAACTGTGAGGTAATAAGTAAAAAGCGGTGCCCTCAGATTACAGTGATAATCTTTGTGATTTTACTACTTAATAAAATAAGACACCTGCATCCTACTAAACAAAAATGCTATCAGAATTAATATACATGATTTTTTTTTGGAGCCCCCTCCCTCTCTCATTCTGTGAAGTGATTCTACCAGGATGTCCCTTTCAATGGGCAAATTCTCTGCATTTCCTGTGGAGGTTTGATGTAACCATTTTCTTTTTTGTAGAGAAAGGCTTTTCTCTCTTTCCCCATTAGGCCATAAACATGTAGACAACTCTTTGCCAGCTCTTGTAATATTTGTTATTGATTCATTGAGTTTGAATTCTTCTTCAATGCAGCAATTCACAGAGTGAAGGAGAAAATCAGGTGCATTGAAAATCATGAAATGTTTGCCCTGTCAAGTATGAAAGTGTAGTGACTGGAAAGAGGTGGACCTTGCTGACTAAGGTCATTGATTGGTGCAGGTTAACAAACCCAATCAGGAAAGCCCTTGCTGACCAATATAGGCAAAGCTTTGAAGTTTAAAGGTAGAGCAGGCTTTGAAACAGCTACGCAGGGCTGCATCTAGAGTATTGTCTGCCACTTTGGTCTCCTTAGCTGCATTGGAAGCAGTTCAGAAAACATCCATTAGGCTGATTCTTGGGATGAAGAGGTTCTTTTAGGAGAAAGGTTTGACCAAGTTGGGCCTGTATTCATTAGAATTTAGAAGGAAGTGAGGTGATCTTATTGACACTTATAACATTCTAAGGGGGTTTGACGTGTGGATGCTGCGAGGACATATCCCCTTATGGGGCATTGAGAATTAGGGGACACCCATTTCAAAATTCACATTCAAGTTGGAAGAATTTCTTCCATTTGTTGTTAATCTTTGTAATTCTTGACCTTCAAGAACAGTGGAGACTTGAACATAGAATGTGCTAGGTCAGATTTTCTAACTATTAGAGAGTTGGGGTGTTGTCAGAAGAGTAGAATTAAGACCATTATTGATTCATCCATTTTTTTTTCAATGATGTAATCGGTTCAAAGACCAAATGACCTATTCCTACTCCTGTTTCCTCAGTTCCTATGATCTCGTCCAAGGGACTGGACATAATATTTCAGCTATACCAAACCATGGTGCGATCATCTGGAGCACTGTAAGCAGTTTGAGTCACTACACCATCTGGACAATGCACTGGCCTTGAAGGGAGTGTTATGTAGATTTAAAGGATAACATCTGAATGCCAAGGGAGAAGCTATAAGGAGAGTTTTCTCAAACTAGCATTGTACTCCAGGAATCTAAAAGCTTTAGGGGTGATTTGATTGCAGTTTTGAAAATATTAAGACGACCAGCTAGAGTAGACCAACAGAAACTACTTCTACAGTTTGGGGAGTCTAGGACTTAGGGGCATGGCTCAACAAATAGAGCCAGATATTTCAGAAATTAAGAAATAGCTCTGCACGCAAAGGATGGTAATAATTTTGAATTATTTTCCAACAAGGTCAATTGATACTAGCTCAATTGTTAAAGTGGACAAAGATGGTAAATGGAGGTGGTCACAGATCATCCATGATCTCATTGAACGTCAGGACTGGATCAAGAGTTGAGGGAGCTAACCCTATTCCTGTATCCTCTTGGCATTTACCCAAAAACCAAGCAGCTCCTGTCCGAATTGGGAGGTCAGTCTGGTGTGTAGATGCAGTACCTTAATTCACTTTAGAGTAAATTTTAAAAATAAAACAAAATGAAGCTATTGCATAACTTCCACGTTCTCATTTTCATAGAATCATAGAACCCCTACAAAGTGGAAACAGGCCATTCGGCCCAACAAGTCCACACCACCCCTCCGAAGAGCATCCCACCCAGACCCATTCCCCTACCATTACATTTCCCATGTCTAACCCACCTAACCTAAACATCCCTGGACACTATGAGCAAGTTAGCATGGCCAATCCACCTAAGCTGCACATCTTTGGACTGTGGGAGGAAACCGGAGCACCCGAAGGAAACCCACACAGACACAGGGAGAATGTGCAAATTCCATACAGACAGTCGCCCGAGGCTGGAATCGAACCTGGGTCCCTGGTGCTGTTGTAGGTATTTTATTCTCGCCCCTCTCTTCAGTAGCTTTTGGGCTGCAGTTTCTTTCCAGCAGGTTGACCAGTTCAGATCTCTTCATGCACAGCTGCCGAAATTTGTGAGAATGTCCCAAGGGGAAGAGAATCACCTGCAGATTTCATTCCCTTCCTGTGGGAATAAATCTTTCCCTGCTACTAACTTTATCTTATCACTTTTGGTGGGGGTCTAATCAGCTCTCGTCTCCATTGGGCACTACAAACCTGTAGCGAAAATGCAATTTGAAACCTGTTGATACAATGAAATGGTTGCAGCATTTGAACACAAACTGTTCCTTTCGTTTCTCTTGTAGTTAAGATCAGCAGGTGCACAAGTGATCCAGGATCATATTATTGATGCAAACACCATCAGCAGCCTGGACTTATCAGACAACGGTAGGTGACTCTCCACAGTGGTAATGTGAGTAGGAGTAATTTATCGGAGTAATTTATCATTTTTGTCATTTGCAGGGTTTGACTCTGACATGGTGACACTGGTCTTGTCTATTGGAAGGAGCAAATCAATCCGACACGTAGCACTTGGCAAGAATTTCAACATTAAATCGAAGTAAGCTCAAACATGGTGATAAATTTACTGAAGTAAAATTCTGTAGATGCTGAAATCTGAAATGTTGACAGAAAATGCTAGAAAGACCTTGTAGGTCGGGCAGAATCTGTGGGGAGAGAAATAAAGTTAGCAAGCAGAATTTTCACCAGCCCTTCAGTTGGCAGGCTAAGAGGCTCCCGAATACTATGGACTCATCAACATGGTCCTACCATTAAGGAGGATCCACAGCGTTGAGAATGGCAGCAGTTTAACCGTCTGCTGGCCATACTGATGTGGCAAATTTAGCTAACTGAAGACCCAAATGAGAGCCATCCACTGAAGCATCTGGCATTTCTTTGCCAACAAAGGGACAATAGTTCAGCTGTGTGGGGAGGCAACAAGCTACATGAGGCAGTCTCCTTGAGAAGTGAAAGCTGATGGAGGCAGAAGCTCCAAGCCACAAAGAAGTGGTCCACCAATAGTCACAGCTGCCTTCCTCTGCTGCTTTAATGCTGGCTCCGGAAGGGGTTTTCTTACAAATACTGGGACCTGCCACCTTGGCCACAGGAGAAACTGTTTTCCCTTCCCTCCTCACTATTCTCACTGCTTCCAGCGGCCACCTCTCTCAGTGGCCCTCTGATTTGGGTGGCAAAATGGGGTGTCCATCTTCCATCCTTAGTTAGATGGCGAGCCCGGTGATGGCAATTAAGAGGCTACCTTCAGGAAGATTTGCAACATGCTCCTTGAAGCTTGGGAACTAAATATGCTCCCAAGTTCAAAAGAAAATTCCAGATAATATTTCAGGTGGATAATCTTTAATCAGAACTGGGAAAAGTTAGAGCTACAATAGATTTCAAGCAAGTGAAAGGGGAGAGGTTGAGCTAAAGGATAAAAGAGAAGGCTTGTGATAGGGTAGAAGGCAAGAGAGATTAATTGGCAAACGGGGCTCATGGTGTCAGGTCAAAGACAGTGGTACTGGGAAAAGGTTAAATAAACAATAAATGTGTCTAGAGGAGTTGTGAATAGCAGGATCACAACAGCTATCATCTGAAGGCAAAGAAAAAGACATAAACTAGACAGCAAACATCAGCACAGCAAATTGGATACAAAGCTTCTGAGATGAAACAGTTGTGGTGAACAGTTGTATTTCAGACTGGAGTAAGGTGTATAGTGGAGTTTTCTAACAGCAAATACTGTTTCTCTTGATCTATATTGATAATCTAGTCTTAGGTGCACAGGGAAGTTTTTAAATTGGTGGATTAACACAAAACTTGGCAATTTTGAGAATTATGAGAAGCCTGGAGATAGTTTTCAAGAAATGGAATGGACGGACATGTGACAAATGCATTTCAATGCACGAAAGAGTGAAGTGATGCATTTTTGTAACAAGAACCAGGATAAGCGATAGATGCTAAGGGATGCAATCCTGAATGAAAATGCTTCCAGGGATCAAGGACTTTAGTTACAAGAATATGTAAATTAGGAGTAGGGTCAAGGGGCCAAATGTCTGAACTCTGCTACATGATTACAGTTGATCTGACTGTGGCCAGAACTCCAGTTTCCTGCCTAATAGTCATGCATCTGTCTTCCTCTGCCTGAAAAAATATTCACTGACTCTAGTGCTCTCTGGGGAAGGGCACTTCATAGACTCTCAAACATCTAAGAGAAAAAAAATTCTTTATCTCTGTCTTGAGTGGCTGACCCCCTATTTTTAAGCCATGTTCCCTCATTGTAGTTCTCTCCTACAAAAGGATCCATTCTTTCAACAACCAACCTGGCAGTCCAACTCAATATTATATGCTGTGTTTCAATAAGATAAGCTTCGCAAGGTCAAGAAAGGAGAGATTGCATCCAAAGTGAGACACGGCCCCATTGAGTTATTTCTGAGCTCCCTTCCCTCTCCCCCATTTCTGAAGAAGGGTCCCAACCTGAAACGTCAACTTTCCTGCTCCTCTGATGCTGCCTGGCCTGCTGTGTTCATCCAGCTCCACACTGTGTTAATCCAGTGAGTATATAGTTTGAGGAATTTGGAGGCAATGTGGGAATTAGGTACAGAGGGAGAAGAGGTGTTTTTTGGTGGGTTGGTGGATTGGTGGATTGGTGGATTGGTGGAGAGGTCTGCTTGTTGTAGACCATTTAGGTTACAACAATATAGATGGAAAAAGGAAAGCGGTTCTACTGAGGGAATATGACCAGCTAGGAGCTAAATTAAAAAGCAGAACCAAAAAGTTGATAATTTCTGGATTACCACCTGAGCCACGAGCAAATTGGCAGAAGGACAACAAAATTACAGAGGTAAACACATGGGTCAAAGTTTGGTGTGGTGGCATCAGTGGCATGGAAAATGTTAAAGAGTAGGGGGAGGGCTCAGCAGCTGTTATTAAAGTTTCCAGAAAAAGTAATAGTATAGAAAGGCTCAGGAATCTAACTTCACGCACAGCAAATGAGGGAACAACTATAGAAGGGGGCAGTCAATGCAGGACTGAGGGTTTTGTACTTTAAAAGGCATGCACTACATGAAACAAGGTAAATGAGCTTGATTGAAATTTGCCGGTATGTTGTTGTGCGTATCACAGACGTGGCTACAAGGGGATCAGGGCTGGGAACTAAATACACAAGGATACACTCCCTATCGAAGGGACAGGGAGATGGGCAGAGGGTGCTGTGTTGCGTTGTAGTAAAAATGAAATTAAATCAATAACAAGAAGTAATATAGAGTCAAAAGGTGTAGAATCTGTGTGGGTCGAGTTGAGGAGCTGCGAAGGGAGAAAAGACCATGATGGGAGTTGTGTACAGGCTTCCTAGCAGTAGTCAAGATGTGGGGAAGAAAATAAATCAGGAGATAGAAAAAGCATATAAGAAAGGCACTATTAAAATAATTATGGGGGATTCATTATGCAGGTGGATTTAGAAAATAAGATTGCTAGTGGATCTCAAGAAAAGGTAATTTGTGGCACGTCTATGAGATTTTTCTTGGAGCAGTTTGTGGTAGAGCCATTAGGGAACAGGCAATTCTGGATTTGATGATGTGTAATGATTCAAAATTGATTAGGGAGTTTAAGGTGAAGGAGCCTTTCAGGGGCAGTGACCATATATGATTGAATTCACCCTTCAGTTTGAGGTGGAGAAGCTGAAATCAGATATAATGGTCTTACAGTTGAGCAAAGGTAACTACAAAGACATGAGGGAGGAGTTGATTGGAAAGGGAGAAAGTAGGGAAGTTGGTAGAGCAGCAATAGCCAGAGTTTCTGGGGTAGTTCAGGAGGCACAGCAGAAATTCATCCCAAGGAAGAAGAAGCATACTAAGGGGAGGATGAGGCAACCATGGCTGACAAGAGAAGACCAGGACAGCATAATAGCAAAAGCAAAAGAAAAAGCATATAATGTGGTGAATATCAGCAGGAAGCCCTTTTAAAAACCAGCAGAGGATAACTTTAAAAAAAGCAGAAAGGGAAAGAAGATGAGCTATGAGAATAAGCTAGCTAGTAATATAAAAGAAGGTTGCAAGAGTTTTTTTTAGATATCTTAGTTTTTAGACGGGCAAGAATGGACATTGGACCACTGGAAAAGAGGCTAGAGAAATAGCAATGGGAAACAAAGAAATGACAGAGGTACTTTGCATCAGTTTTCACAGTGGAAGGCACCAACAGCGCACCAGAACAGAGTAGAGATGAGAATAGTGGCCAACACCAAGAAGAAGCTGCGGGAGAAGCTGAAAAGTCTGAAGGTGGATAAATCAAACAGACCTGATGGACTACACCCCAGTTGTCTGAAGCAGATAGCTGGGGAGATTGTAGAGGCATTGGTGGTGATCTTTCAGGAATCACTGGAGTCGGAGAGGGCCCCAGAGAACTGGAAAATGGCTAATGCAACACCCCTGTTTAAGAAGGGAGGCCAGCAGAAAACAAGAAACTATGGGCTGGTTTTCCTGACCTCGGTTGTTGATAATATTTTAGAGTCCATTATTAAGGATGAGATTGCAGAGTACTTGGAAGTGTGTGGTAAAATAAAACTGAGTCAGCATTGCTTTCTCAGGGGGACGTCATGCCTGACGAATCTGTTCAAATTCTTTGTGGAGGCAACAAACAAGTTAGGCAGAGGAGATCTAGTGGACGTGATCCATTTGGATTTCCAGAAGACCTTTGACAAGGTGCCTCACAGGAGGATATGAAATAAGATGAGCCCATGAGTTAAGGGCAATGTACAAGATAGAGGATTGGCTGACTGGTGGACTGGCAGAAAGTAGAGAGTGGGGATAAGGGGACTTTTTCAGAGTGGCAGCTGGTGACTAGTGGAGTTCTGCAGGATTCAGTGTTGGGACCACAGCTATTCACATTATACATTTAACAATCTCGATGAAGGAACTTTGGGCATTGTTGCTAGGTTTGCAGATAACACAAAGATAAATGGAGGGACAGGTAGTGTTGAGGAAGAGGGGAGGCTGCAGAAGGACTTGGATAGGCTAAGAGAGTGGGAAAAGAAGTGGCAGATAGAATACAGTGGTGGAAGGTGTGAGGTGTTATGCACTTTGGTAGGAGCAATAGAGTAGATTATTTTCTAAATGGGGAAAGGCTTTGAAAACCTAAAGCACAAAGGGACTTGGGAATCCTAGTTCAGGATTCTCTTAAGGTTAACATGTAGGTTGAGTTGGCAGTTAGGAAGGCAGATGCAATGGTACAGGAGTAGAATCTAAGAGCAGAAATGTGCTGCTGAGGCTGCTTAAGGCTCTGGTCAGACTGCTTTTGAAATATTGTGAGCAGTTTTGCACCCCATATTTAAGGAAGGATGTGTTGACCTTGGACGGTATCCAGAGGACACTTCCCGAATGTACATATCACTAGTAGCCTGTTCTGCCAGAAGTACAGAACATCTCAGTAACACTCACAGTCAAGTGGGACCTAATCGATAACATGCTCAGAATTACATACAAATTCACACCTTCACTGCAAGGCTGATGACTGCCTGACCAGTCACCCAATTATTCATATAATCTGAGTTCTGAGGAAGGGTCACCGGACCCGAAACTTTAACTCTGTTTTCTCCTCCACAGATGCTGCCAGACCTGCTGAGCTTTTCCAGCAACTTTGTTTTTATTCATATAATCGTGTCCACCAACCTGACTCCCTAACAACAGGTGCAACAGAAAAGGGCCCAATGAAAGATCAACATTGAAGCTTTGAAGAATCCGATAAAAAGAGATTCAACAATGCCTTAGCGGGAAGAAATGTTTAAACTTCAAGCATCAATGTATCCATGGTGTTTGGGGTGTCCTTAAATCCAACATGATCACTATCTGCAAAGAGACACTTGGGATTTTCTGTCAAGAAACATCAGGACTAGTTTGATTAAAAATGTTCAGGATATCCATTAATTGATTGATTGAAAGAACAAAACTTTCTGTGCCCGGCGGAATGACTCAAGCTCAAAACAAAGCTTACAACAAAGAAAGGCAGAGGTACTAAGGATCATCCAAGACATGAAACATGTTGTGGGCAGACAAGCAGTGCAATGAGTATAGGAGTTGGGAGGTCATGTTGCAGCTGCATAGTGCATTGGTTAGGCCACTTTTGGAATACTGTGTTCAATTATGGTCTCCCTGTTATAGGAGAGATGTTGTTAAACTTGAAAGGATTCTGAGAAGATTTACAAGGATGTTGCCAGGATTGGAGGGTTTGAGCTATAGGGAGAGTCTGAATAGGCTGGGGCTATTTTTCCTGGAGCATCAAGAGGTTGACGGGGATGGATAAGGTGACTAGTCAAGGACTTTTCCCCAGCATAGGGAAGTCCAAAACTAGAGGGCATAGTTTTAAGAGGGGAAAGATTTAAAAGGGACATGGAAGGCAACTTTTTAAAGCAGAGGGATGGAATGAACTGCCAGAAGAAGTGGTGGAGGCTGGAATAATTACAACATTTAAAAGGCATCTGGATGGGTATATGAATAGGAAGGGTTTAAAGGGATATGGGTAAATGGGACTAGATTAATTGAAGATATCTGGTCGAAATGGATGATTTAGATCGAAAGGTCTGTTTCTGTGCTATACATCACTATGACTCCAAGCTAAAAGAAATGTAACATCTCACTGACATACATGACATAGTGGTTTCCTCACTGCCACAAAGACCATTTATGGAATAACTATTCCAAGAGCAGCTCTTCTGAGGCCTTAGATTAGAGTTACTTGGGCTAGTCCCCTTGGGAAAGGGAAGGCTAAGAAGAATTTTGATACAGGTGTTAAAAACCATGAAGAGTCTGAGTGGAATAGATTGACCATTATTCTCAGCAGCAGAAGAGTGAAGAACGAGAGCACTTCAATCTAAGCTGAAAGGTAAAAGATCAAATGATGTCCCAAGGACAAACACCTTTATGTACTGAATGGTTAGGATTGAGGTTACACTGCCTGAGAGACTCTGGCACAGTAATTGGATAAACTCCAGAATACAAGCACTACAGAAATACGGCTAGGGTGTGGGACTAGCTGAATTCCTGTTAGAGAGCCACCACAAACATGAGTCAGTATTAGCAGCTGGTAATATTGGGGCCACAAAAGTGAAACAAAAGGCCCAATCACCAACAGTGTCATCGCTGTTGAGTTCCTCATTGCCCTATCCTTGACCAGTTATACCAACAATTTGAACAATAAAGCAAGTCAGACATCTGTATTATCAGAAGCTAATTTTCCTCTGAAGTTGTATATTATGATTTAGACATCTATAATTGGATCAAAATCCTGCAGTTTCTCTTTTGAGAACACCCTCACCGCAGGAGCTGCAGCAATTCTAGTGGAAGGCCTATTGTCAAATTCTCAGGATAACTAGGATTCCAGGCAATGCCAGTGTGTTATTCAAACAAACTAAATCATCCAGTAGGATGCCTTCCTATATCTATTCTGAAACCAATAAAGATTGAGCCCTGTTAAACAAACTGATGCTTGGAACAAGCAGTTTGTTTTATGAGGAAGTTTGGATAAGTTAGGCTTGTATTCTCGGAGTTTAGAAAAATAAGATGTGACTTGGTTAAAAATATAAAATCCTAAACAGTATTGACCAGGTAGATGTGGAGATGCTGTTTCCTCAAATAGTAAAATATAGAACCAGGGGTCACAATTTTTTTTTTGAGGACTGAGTGTCTTTGGAACTCTCTTTTTGTAAAGGTAATGGTTGAATATTTCTAAGATAGAAACAAATAGATTCTTGTTAAACCAGGTATTGAAAGGTTAGCAGGTTGGATGGGAATTTGGATTTGAGGTTGCAATCAGATCAGCTGTGATCTTATTGAAAAGTAGAGCAAGCTTGAAGGGTGAAATGCCTACTCTTGCTCCTAATTTGTATTTTTGTTAAAGGCAGTTAATACCTGAGAGGATTAACTTGCATCAAAAGATGAGCTCTGCCCATCAAAATTTAAAGGACTGTTTCTCAAAGGAGCTCACCAATGTTTGTGGGGTGTGACCCACAATTCTGCATGTGTTCATTAGAGTCGCAGAGAAGTCCCAAGTGATGTTCTTCAGCTCGGATAAATGCAAGGTATTGCATTTTGGTAAAATGAAGGGCATGACTTATACAATTAATGGTAGGGTCCTGGATAGTGTCGTTGTTGAACAGAGAGACCTAGGGGTTCAGGTACATAGTTCTTTGAAAGTTGTGTCAAGTTGCGTCAAGTTGCGTCACAGGTAGACAGGGTGGTTGAGAATGCATTTAGCACATTTGCCTTCATTGCTCAGACCATTGAGTATAGGAGTTGGGATGTTATGTTGAGGTTTTACAGGACGTTGGCGAGGCCACTTTTAGTGTACTGTGTACGGTTCTGGTCACCCTGCTATAGGAAGGATATTATTAAATTGAAAAGGGTCCATAAAAGATTTATAAGAATGTTACCGAGACTGGAGGATTTGAGTTATAAGGAGAGGTTGGTAGGCTGAAACTTCCTTCCCCGGAGTGAAGGAAATTGAGGAGTGACCTTATTGAGGTTTATAAAATCATGACAAGCATAGATAAGGTGAATAGCAAATATTTTTCCTAGAATGGGTGAATTTAAAACTAGGGGGCATATTTTTAAGGTGAGAGGAGAAAGATTAAAAAGGGACCTGAGGCTCTAACTTTTTTTCACAGAGGGTGGTTCGTATATGGAATGAACTGCAAGATGAAGTGGTATGTGCAAGTACAGTTACATTTAAAAGACATTTGGACAGGTAGATGAATAGGAAAGGTTTAGAGGAACATGGGCCAAATTCAGGCAAGTGGGACTGGTTTATTTTGGGAAACTTGGTCAGTGTGGACAAGTTGGACTGAAGAGTCTGTTTCTGTGCTGTATGACTGTGTTTGATGGCATCATACTTGAGGCAGTGGATGTGACAGAGGATGATCTGGTGGAATAGAAGGCTAAGGGAACTTTGCAGGGAGAATGGTTAGAGCTGAAATGCTTGAAATTGATTAGACGTGGTTTGGGGGCCCTGGCAATTACATTGCTGGAATCCTTTGTTGAGTAATAAGAAAGACATATCAAAAGTGTTGTTATGGAACCTTACAGTGATGTACAGTATCAGAACAGTCATGAAGGTAGGACAGAAGAAACTGGATAGCTGGTGAGGGGAGAAAATGAGGTTGAGGTGGTGCAGAAACTAGCTGAAACATTTTTTTTTGAAAAAGGAGCTTTTGTGCCAATGTCCTGGACCCACTTGAATTAGTCTTAAACCTGTGTTAATATTTTCAGAGCCTTGGCTGATGTTCTACACAGGATTGTCCAACTCATCCAGGATGAAGAGTGTGTAAGTTTATTATTGTCCTCTTAAAATAACTGAAGTTAATACAATGAGATTTCAATGTTCAACAGGTCAGGCAGCATTTTGAGAGAGAAACAATTAATATTAACATTTTGGCTCGATGACATTTCGTCTGAATGGATAGAATTTATACATATATTGATTTTAAGAAATGAAAGTGGAAATCTTGGGGGAAAAGCACAAAACTAAAGATGTGAGATAAGGCAGAAGACAGGAATAACTAAATGGCAAAAGATTTCCTGATTGAGAATTGACGAAAAGCCACAAATCTGAACCATTATCTCTGTTCCTCTCTTTACTAGACCTGCTGAGTATTTCCAGGTTTTTCTGTTTTTATTATTGTTTCTTCAGTTTGTATTATTAAGTAACCATTATCAGTTCGGATCCAGATAGGTTTACAGTTTGAAAGGAAAGACATATTGCAAGTTGTGTACAGTTTTAGTCTCTTATCAGGAAGGAGGGAGTGCAATGAAGGTCCACCTGATTTCTGGAATGGTAAGATTGTAACCATTGGGAGAGACTGAGATGGCTGAGCCTATGTTCTCTTGAGTTTAGATGACTGAGAGGTGATCCCATTGAAGCATACAGAATTCTTAGAAAGCATGACAGGGTAGATGGAGCAGCATGGGGACTATGTAACAATGAGACTTAATCTAGATTAAGAAAGAGGCTATTTTGTACACTATTGAGGAGATATTTCTTCATTCAGAAGTGGTGAATCTTTGGAATTCTTGATGCCAGAGGGTTGTGGAGGTTCAGTTATTGAATATATCTGAGACTGAAATTGAAGCATTTATAGATATTAAAGATATCAAGGGATACTGGGCTAGTGTATGAAAATAGCATTGAGATGTAAGGTTAGCCACGGTCTAGCTGAATAGCAGATCAGATTCACTGTGTGTGCTCCTAAATATTTTTGGAATCTTCGGTGAAAGTATCCAATTGCAAAAAAGCCTGTGTTTTGGAGATCACAACTGCAGCTTTATTTTGAGAGGTTGTACCTGGCTGTCCTTCCAGATACCTCACTTCACGGTTTATATTGAGATTCTTAGTTACGTTTCATGCCAATTGGGGTGTTTTGGAAGTAATCAATTTAAGTACAGTTTTGAAAATGATTCTTATTTAAGTTATTTAATACGACTTTGGTTGTTGTGATGATGTGGAATAGTCAGTATTCTAATTTACTTCTCCATTGGAATGTAAGACAGAGCTTTTATATCCCAAATTCTTCACAGTGTAAGTTCCTGATTTGCCCTTCGCTGTTACATACAGTCAAGATGAAATGTGTAATGATTGTAATGAGGCCAGTCAGGTGAACCCCATAGAATATGGTCCAATCAGGGAGTCCTGGCTGACAGATAAAAAGAGGAGTGTCAGAGATTCTGCTCACTCTGAGGGAGTTGGACCAGTGTCAAGGACTGCCTATGTATAAATAAAGGGTGACTTGGTGACAGGATACCAGCCTTTGTGGAGATGGTACAGAAGGCTGGTTCTTGGCAAAGAGAAATTAATATATCTTCTTCACAGTTGTCTGTAAAGTGACACTGAGCAGTGACTGAAGCTCACAAGTAAGTTGGTTACTTTCACTTTTATCTGTAAATTATGTAGGGAGGCAAAGAAAAGACGTTAGGACATAATATTATAAATGCATATTTAAAATATAAAAATAATAAAAAACAACTAATTTTCCTGCTTTTCCTTTCAGCCTCTGCAGTCTTTATCAGTTGCTGATTCGCGATTAAAGTCTGGAACCAATGTTATCATTAATGCTCTGGGCAGCAACACCTGCTTAAAAAAGATTGACATCAGTGGCAACGCTATGGGAGACACTGGAGCAAAGATGTTGGCCAAAGCTTTGCAGATTAACACAAGTCTTAGGTATGTGTGGTTTGTGCTTAATGTGGGTTAGCTCCTCATGTCACTTGGGGTATTCATCAATAAGGATGATAACTTTCCATGCCTCAGTGTTTTTGCAGGACTGAAAAGCTTCTGAAAAGACAAAATTGCACTATGAGCATAGCAAAGTGCAACATACAAAGCATCTTCCTTTCAAATAAGTCCATGAAACAAGCAAAACTGCTGCACTTCATAATGCACATTGAATATAGTGTTAATGGAACGTGCTGGAGGAACTGAGTGGGTCAGGCAGCATCTATGGAGACAGGACTCGAAATGTTAATTCTGTTCAATGTGACTTCAGAAGAGAAGAGAATTGGAAATGTCATAGGTTCTATGCTTTTGAAAAGGAGGGAGGGACACGTGAAACAAAAGGGAAGATCAGATAAAGGTTAGAGAGCGAGTGAAATTCGTGATCAAAGGAGTCGTGTATCAAAAGAAAAAGGGAATGACGGTTGTAGAGAAAAATACAAAATATTCGTCCAGAACCAGTTCTGAGTTTCTCTGGTATCTTCTGATTTTAGTTCAGATCTCCAGCACCCACAATGTTTTGCTGATTTATTATTGAATATTGTGTTGTCCTTTTCCTGGAAACTATGATTAGAACACTTATTTCATGTGTAACCGCAAAGTTGAACCACAGATACAGACATAATTAACAATGCTCATCCTGTATTTCGATGCAAGCTGATGACTACAGGTGCACCAAATGGCAATTTAACAATATAGTTAGGGCAGACATGATCCCAATACCAACTTTTCAGTTATTAAAAAGTGATCTACATTCAACAAATAATTGGTGATTGTTATCATGGTCATTAGTACATTGATGCAGAAATCAAAACACATCTGAGATATCTAATGAGAGATAGTAGGAACTGCAGATGCTGGAGAATCCGAGACAACAAGGTGCAGGGCTGGATGAACACAGCAGGCCAAGCAGCATCATAGGAGCAGAGAGGCTGACGTTTCGGGCCTAGACCCTTCATCAGAAAAGGGGGAGGGGAAGGGGGTTTTGAAATAAATAGGGAGAGAGTGGGAGGCGGATAGAAGAGGGATAGA